AGAACATCAAATAATATAAACATAAAGTGTTGATAAGGATCCCATATCTTGGCATTTTAGGAAAAAAATCAAACTTGTCAGTGTTTTATATTAGGCAAACTATGTAAAGCAACACCCTATCACCACATATATCTATGATATCCACGTTTATGAAAGACAGTTATTGACATACTCTATACATAAATGCAGTGTTAATATATACATGCATACGTTTATTACTGGTTTTAAAGGGAATGCGTTTATTTGAATATGTCCGAGTTAGCCAAAAGCCTTTTTATACCCCATTAGTTGTTGTTCCTAGGCAGATTATAGACACTTAGTCGTAAAAATAGTGCAGGTACACAACACACAATGTAAAGGGTAGGCATATGTCATTAGTACTTGAAACCATTAACAATGTTTTAAGGTAAATATTCAATCAAAACATAAAGATGGATGCAACATTTGACTACAGTCAAGGCAGTATAATAGAGTTACGCAAGTGGAAAAAGTTAGCTGGCTACGTACTCAGTCAGTATGGCTTTTCAGACGTAAACTTTTTTAATAAACATTCAGCGCAGTTAAGTACTACAATTTAAGCTTCACTTTATGATATTCGTGCGACATAAATCTTTCAAATGTTGCTTAGCAAGCTGTTTTTAAAATCTGTGATTATAAACTTCCTCGTGGGCGTAGACAGCAATAACAAACGCATGCCACGCTGTAAACTGGCACTAGTTTAAACTAGCGTTACACCTGCTTAAAAACGACTACAAAGACTATCAAAAAGAGAAGGCAGGTGTTATAAATACTTTAATGTTAAATTAAATGAATGAATAATCGCTATATTGGCGGGTGGGTAGTTTAAAGAAGTGACAGAACAGCCATAGAGCATGTGTTCCGCCAGCATGCTGCAGAGGAATTATGGAAATAATTGTATGTCCAAAAGCTTCTCATAACATACTAAATGAATGCACACATTTCATATTTAATGCGTTTTAATGTGTATTAGCATTTAAATTACTCACCAGCAGCTGTCGTCTCGGCTTGTCTCTGTCAGACGAGGTCAACAACAACTGCGAGTCAACCTAACCTAATCTTTCTTTGGTATAATGCATATAGCTGCACGTTTACGTGGGGCTTTCTTTTGCACAAGGCACAGTGTGTACAGTTGCAGGTTGTGTGTGGTTCACACTCCTCCTCCTGCTGCTGCTGCTGTTGGTACAGTTTAATCCAGTTTCTCTCTCTCTCTCTCTCCCCACCACGAGGTCAAACCTTATTTACCAACTTTGGAGTGTGCCAGAGGTGTGCGTTGACGCAACACACTGAAGGTTTCTAATTTCTCAAATTTTCCCTCCTCGACTCCTCGGCTGCATCTCACTTCGGTTAAATGGAATCCTTGCGTCCCTCACTCGCGTCGTTTCCCTGCATCTAGTCCTATGATCTAGTCCCTCCTACCCAAGCGGCAAACTCTGGGGCAGAGCCATGGGGGCAGAGCCGGGAGGCCATGAAGGAAGTGCCACAAACTGCAGTTCATCTATTGGCCGATAGGCTATGACTGCAGGAAGGATGAATTTCCATAGACCCCCATGTTAAAATGCCCAACTTTACAGCAGAAATAAACATGTTTCTACCCCTGGATGCAATACAGTTTATTTGGGAAATAGTTAGATTCCACCTTAATGATTATTAATTGTTGAGTGAATTGTTTTATAACGCAAGTTCCCTTTCATTTATATTAGGTCTTAACGTTTTTGCATAAATTAGGGCGTGGTCACTTAGATGGACAGGTACGTGCCTCACTGCCAGCTAACAGCAACTTGTCCACTCTGCTAGGCTACAACGTTAGCTAGTTGTAGTGACTGTACTTGACCCTTTAGCCGTGTTCGTGGTGATTGAGCCTTTTACACACACACACACACACACACACACACACACACACACACACACACACACACACACACACACACACACACACACACACACACACACACACACACACACACACACACACACACACACACATACAACACACACTGTACCACACACACCTACAGCTCCTAAAGCATATCATATATCAGGATACAGCCGTTGTGTATTTTATTATGTGAAGCACTAAATGGTTTTAGAAAAATATCGACTCTTTGTTTGTAAATATCTACTAAACTAAAGTATACAAATAAAGAGAGTAATGTAGGCCTGTCATACTGAGTGATATACACACTGCTCTGCTTTCTGCACGGACCTCACAGCTGTTCTCACTGTAAACATTGCGTTGCGATGAAAGCAGTTAATAACATAATATCCAGGGGATGCATGCAGAGCTGTCATTGGCTGAGATAAGTCCGGCCGTGCTCAAGACTCTTTGAAACATCACTGTTGCCGGAAATACCTCCGCGGAGGAACCATCAGTGTATCCTCGATTATAGCTCCTCCAGAGAGCCTCCTCGAGGCTCGATCCTCGATGTGCATTTAGATAAATGAAATGTCCTTCAACATGGCATACTGAAATCCATTTCCGGGTCACTACCGGAGGACCGAGGATTCGAGGAGTCGAGGAGGGGAAATTAGAGAATTGAGAAACCTTCTAAGACACAAGGATAGAAGTCGAGAAGGGGAATAAGAGAAAGGAGAAATCTTCACTCACACGTTTTGGACACAAATAAAGCATTACATGTGTTTTTATGTTTGTCTTTTTCACCATGCAATCATCAGCCATGTCAAAGCCCTCCAATCATAATATGGCTTAATTTCACATTGTAGGGAAAGTACATTACGCAGACATGCAGCAATCTGCTATACCAAACTTTATGATTCTGGGGTTTCTCCTCCCTCCTGCGCATCCTCTGCTCCTATTGGTCCTCGTCGTCTGTTGACAGGAGGAGAGGAGAGCGGCTTCTCATTGGTTAATCACGAATGAAAAACAAAGTGTAGGTTTGTTCTGCATCCCTAAGCATGAAATCCAGTTTTACAAGAAGGGACACTCGGCCAGTTACATGCAGTAATTGACACATTATTACACACAAACACATAAAGTGCAAACCATAAAAATACATGTACCTCGGCTTTGAAATGGGCCTCTGCTGCCACCTGCTGTTGCTGAACAGCACCCTGTCACTGCCATGTGTTGCACGTGACACAGCCAAAATCATAATAACAATGTTATTTTGTGATCAATTAAATATCAATTAGAAAGAACATAAAATCTCAAGTACAATCTACAAACAAAACGCACAAATGCAATTGATATTGTAAAAAAAATGACCTTTTCTGTGCTGTACACATAAGGTATCTGGAGTCCCTGTCAATTCACAACCTGAATTTGGGGGCTGTCTAGATAAGGAAACAGGACTCAACATGCCATTCAGATTGGCTCCCTTTCTTATCTCACATGCTGAATGTATTGCCCCTCATCTGAGGATCTCCACCATGGATGTATAAGAGAACTGGATAAAGCATTGGAATTTGTTCATTCCTAAGGAAGTGGATCAGAGGCGCATAACCTGCTCTCGTTATAAAATGTACCAGCCTTCAACATCCATGTCCTATATCAATTCTTTAATCCCACTGCCTCGCAGCTCAGTCTGGAGCTCATTCACATGAACAAGTGATAAAATGGTACCTCATTTACAGACTACACAAAGGATGAATACAGATATACTTTTCTTTTTTTAACTCCTGTCATTATGCATACTGCATTTGAGTCCTGATCCTAGGTCCTTACTCTGACTTTTATGGATGATTGTCTCTCTGCAATGCCATTAGAATAACAGCGTGTGTACCGCTGTTCCACACAGCACATATTCTATTACATATGTAAAGGAGGTTATAACTATTTCCCAGATTAAATGAACTCACTGATTTTTGTAAGTGAATATATCAGTGCACATTATTTGTTTAGCATGTATAGAACAATCACGTAGATAAAAGCAAAAATGTGCAAAAGGGTAGAAAGAGTAGGAAAAAGTTAAAACATTTATGAAATGTGTAGAGTAGCAGCTGCTGCATGTTCAAAACGGTTCAACCTTCCCAGCCACCCTCCATGAAAAAAGGGAGAAGAGACACATCTCTGTATTCACAATCTCTCAGCTCCTGAATCATGTCCTTTTCTTCCCTCACCAGCTCCGGATGCTGCTGCTGTTGTGGATAGGTGTGATTTGAATGGCAAATTAACCCCATGCAAACACAACAATTATCTTGGCAAAGAAGCAGCAGCAGCGTGGGGTCACTGAGGGCTTCTCAGGTCAGGACGAGAGGTTGAGTCCTTCCTCGTGTATAAAGAAAACTCACATTTACTACAAGTTTAATAATGTATTACCCCAAATCTTGATATTTGTTTTTTAACGGATTAATCTAAAGGCCAATATAAAAAGATCCCAGAGTTTTTACCAGATACACACTTTTTTGAAGGGATCAATTCTAATGAATACACAAGCCAGAAAACCAGAACAATGTAGGTCTAATGGCTACTAAAAAACCTCCAAAGCATACTTTTAAGTGCTTATAGGGAAGCCTAGAGCTTAGATGGTTTGTCTTGAATAAATATTTTATTATTTTAAGAAATACCACTCAAATCTATCAGTATAAATTAATAAACAGCTAGAAGCCAGTTAGCTTAGCATAAAGACTGCAACAGGGGAAAACCACTAACCTCTGTCCAAAGGTGTAGAATATACCTACTTGTAACATTAAAGCTCACAAATTAACATGTTATATGTTAAATGTTTGATAAAAATACCTAGTTTTGTTATCCTGTTTGCACTCTTCATTCTTCAGTAAAAGTACAGCTAAGCTAACAAGCTGCTAGTAAATGCTACATGTTTAGCATACAGGAATGAGCAAGGTATTAATCATCTCATCTAATTCTCAGCAAAAAAAACGAATATAATATTTATATACAGTATATTTCACAAAATATCAAACTACTTTCTTAGGAAGGCACTGCATGGAATTATAATCATTCAGTTTCTCTGTCTACTGTCACTGCAAACATCAAGTAACAAAACAAGGCACTTTAAATATATGGTGAAGTGGAAGCTATATACTATTTTGTTTTTATTGTTCATCAAGAACCTGTTACATTATGAGACATATTTTTCTACCTTATCTGCCAAGTGAACTGTTGCATTGAATCTTAACATCATTGATCTTTTCTATAGCCACGTCCAATGTTCTGAATAACGTTCTCAATGTCAGCTACTCGCCCCACAGTTTGACTTCCACTCATATTGTAACACATGCCTGAAGACAAAACAGCATAACAGCCCAAAATTCAAGATGTCACAGTATCCCATTAACTAAAAAAAAACATAATATAATATTATAAATAAAGACAAAATGAAATACAAATTAAGCCCACACTTCAAGAGAATAATAAACATGCACCCAAAACTACGTACAGTAACAGTTAAGACTTGAAGAAAAGTCTGTCATAACATAAAAAATATAACATATTTTCACTTGGCTTTGTAATGTCAAGGCACTGTATAGCTTAAATAAGATTGTTCATGGCTGTAAGTGTTCCACAGGATTTGAGTTCACTAAAATAATGTTACAAAATCTACAATCAAACATAATACATCTTATTGTACAATGTGAACAATCCCAACATACAGAGTGTAATAATGGTGAGAAGAAGTGTTTGGCCAGGGAAGAACTACAGTATAGACACCAAGATGGCTGAAAAAAATGTTAAATATGAAACAATTATCTCCATAACACACTGAAACTGCTGTGGGATTTATAATTTAACTCCACATCTAAATTCTAACTGTGGCTGGTTAAACAAAGGTTAAAATGAGCTAAAAGACAATGTAAAACACACTCAACTGTACAACCTCTAGTGGTGAAACCGAATCAAGTGCACTTCTTTTTTTTTTGTAAGGATAGTGGCAATGTGCTGTTGTGGTCAAAACAGACAAACACTCCAATACAATTCAATTCAGAATTGCTGAGGAAGAATTACAATCAAAGTCTGACTGAATGGTGGTACGTCTATGTTACGTTGGAATCTGTTTCACAGTCATGAGAACTTAAGTGTTCCTGGATCAACACATTTGACATAACATTTGGGGAGTTGAACTTGCCTCTTTAAAGTGACTCCATGTACAATTTCTATGTGATTATAGCCAATTTGGATAGCATAATATAGAACAAGTGGGTTTTTTTCTGCAACCACCAGGGGGCGCCATGGTCAGAAATGTAGAAATTCCACACACAGTTTCTTCCTTTCTTATTATCATCAACAAATCCCCACAAAAGACCAACAACAACAATTAAATGATTTTGTGAAAATATTGCCTGTGTCTCAAAAGCCCTATAAAGCACATTCTCTTTGCCTAAGTACTCCCTCTTTGTGACTGTATATGAAACGTTGTTCCCCACAATTTTGGCGGCCACAGTTTCGGCCCTTGTTTTTAGTTTATATTCCGCTACTAAAAAGTCTCCATCAAATGGAATATTTACTCCTGTTTGAGTATTTTTTGCTAAAAACTAGAACCAAGCTAAAAAGTTAAATAAATAAAAAATGTTGTGATCAATGTCATCATTTTTGTACATATTTATGTCTTCGTCAGGATTAAATTGGCTTCGGGCGGAGAAAGACGTACAGGCTGGGCAGATATTGAAAGACAAACTAACATTGTTGATTTTGGTCTTTTCATGTTTGTTTGTTTGTTTGTTTGTTTGTTTTTTTGTTAAAAATATGAAATATCATTAGCCTTAGCTTTCAATTTGGATTAGGTAATCTACTTATTTCTTGTAAGAAGAGATTTTTTTCACAGCAGACATTTCTTTGTCATAGTAGAAAAAATACAGAAAAAAGTGTTGTGAAAAAGGCCTATTCCTTGAGGGGACAGGATATTAATAAAAAAGGTTGTGTCTATGAATGGATTAGGCCAAACATTGTCATGGGATGATGTGGTTTCCCACAAACGGACATATGTCGGTGGAGGAATCCTTGAGGAAGTCCAAAGTGTTCCAGAGGGAGAGGAAGAATGAAAGGAAGTGTTTATCGTGTGTCCAAAAGTTCACTTGGTTGACTTTTCTAAACCCTCAGACTTCAGGTTCAGAGTTCGCCATGGATAAAATGATGTTCACCAAACTTTCAAGTCCAGACAGGTATCCATCTTCTCGGTTGCCCTCTACCCACGATGCTCGGTGGGTCAGTTCCTGCCCCTCAGGAAGAGGCGTGGTTTTCCCAAAGTCGATCATCCAGACTTTGGCCCGCCCCTTACTGTCGTGAACAAATAACAAGGAGCTGCCAATCACCTGCAGACACACAGCAAGACAATGGTATGAATAAGAAAACAGGAAATGATTACTAAAACAGTATCTTTTGTTTGATTCAAAACCTAACTATGTGTGTGTTTGTGTGAGTCAAAAACATGATCTCACTTCCTGTTTTGTTTCGGTCACTTCTTACATTTACGTCTATTGGTATGTGTGTGTGTGTGTGTGTGTGTGTGTGTGTGTGTGTGTGTGTGTGTGTGTGTGTGTGTGTGTGTGTGTGTGCACGTGTGCATGTGTGAAACCAAATGTGTGTGTAT